ATTCAAAGCAAAGGCCAAATCTATATCCAAAGGCATGATCAAGATTGCATTTAAAGGCAATACTACTGCTACTACTACTACTACTACTACTACTACTACTACTACTACTACTACTATATAATAATAATAATAATAATAATAATAATAATAATAATAATATCTTTATTTCTACAAGTACATATATAAGGTATACAGACCTAGCTGACATTAATGACATACAATTATACAGAAAACCGCTTGTTATGCAGAGCATTTGGGGCAAATTAGGTCAGTTTTTGCCCCAAGATGCTACCCACACCAGTCGACTAACACCCAGGTACCCATCAAATTTATACTGATGGGTGAACATGGGCAATCGGTGTAAGAAAACACGCCCAATGTTTCAACCCTCGCCGGAAATCGAACCCGGACACTCACCGTGTGAAGTGAGAGCTTTTGCCACCAAGCCAGTGGCTTGGTGGCAAGGTTAAGTTTAGATTTAAAGTCAAAATCAAGCATATATTTAATGATAAGGTGAAACCTATAATTAATGGCAAGGTCAGGCCTATATTAAAATAAGGTCAAGCTAATACTTAAAGTCAAGATCAAGCTTACATTTAAATTTAAGGCCAAGCTTATATTTAAAGTCAAGATTAAGGCTACATTTAAAGGGAACGTCAATTCTACATTCAAAAGCAAAAGTCAAGTCATATTCAAAGTCAAGGTCAAGCCTATGTTAAAGGTTAACGGTACCATATTACTGACTGATGATTAAATGTGTATTTAAAAAAATCTGCGAAGAACATAGATCTGAGCTACAGTAAATACTTATTACTAGTAAACCAGTTTCTTTACCTCATTCTTTACCATATATGCAGTTTGCCAGAATGTTAACAGACACCTCCGTTGCCTAAAACATTGTGAATTACGTTCATAACTCCTTCAGGATAATTCTGTGATAAAAAACTAGAGGCACCATGACAAGTGTTCCATGTGCCCATAGTGATGCATCATGGTGTTGTGTTGCAGCGGCTGGCGGTGCAGAGACCAACTCTAACTGATTGTGTAATTGTGCGTAGGCGACGCTGCTGCCGCGATTATCATGTTTCTCTTTAGCTTCGAAATTTTACCGTCTTTAGTTAAGTAAGTCTTATGTCTATATTCCATAAAGTGCTCATTTTATTTACAACATTCCCTGACATTTCCCGGCCTCTATTTCACCGAAGACAAGATATCTTTATAAAAAGTATTAAGTTATCCTTACGGTGTGACAATGGTGTTACCAGCTGGTGAGTGGATAAGATGGACTCTTGACTTAATTTCCACAAACAGCCTTTAAACGGCTTGAAATTAAGTCAGTCTTACTGAAGATCAAGTATTAAAAATTTACAAGATAAAGTTGATGTAGAAATAGCACACTGTAACACGTGAGGAGCATATAAATATCTAGGACAACGCGTGTTGTGTAAGAAAGTTAGACTTAATCATCACAATTGACCAAAATTCAGGGTTTATCAAGCCCACTTACTTGAATGGAAACTGGATTTATGACTTTTTTGTACGTTATATGTAGCTTAGCTTAGTAAGAGCAGCTCTGTGCTCCAAGCTAAAGTTTAACCTAATTATTTAAACGCATTTTTGTAGCACTGTATTTAATGTATGACGAGACACTGAATGAGATAAGATAGTAGTCCTTGTTGGGTAGACTTGTTTTGTACTTGAATTTACAGGCTGGAGTTGTTATCCCATCTCAGCTTATTTCCAAGCCACAGACTAAGAGGTGTTAGCCTATCCGTATTTTAAATATTATAATCAATTTAAGCTCTAAACCCGTAAGGGTCATCAACGCTGAGGAATGAGGGGGTAGGAGGGTTGTAGCTGTTATCCTACCTAAGGTTATTAACGATTTACAGCATAAAAGCTGTTATCCTACCCTAGCTTTAAAATTTACAGGCTAAGTGTTGTATCCTACAATTAAGAGCTGTTAGCCTACCTCAGCTCTCATACAATTTACAGGCTGAGCTTTCTTACCTCAGCTCATTTAAGATTTGCATCAGCTCATTGCAAGTTCCATCTCCCCTGGATGTGTCCACAAATAACAGTCAGCTAGCACCTACCTAGTTATTGTTAGATAACCATGGGTAGCAGGTGTAGAGATTTGACTTCTGGCTCAAGTTAGGTTTGAAACCTGTCGACTGCAAGTGGGTCGCGAAGGTTTCATCATTAACTTTATTTCTGAAAATAACGCTAAAGTAAACTCAATTTACATACACTGAGAAATACCCAACTATGTATGTTTCCATGTTGCAAGTTGTTTCCTTTGTGATAAAAAAAAATAACTTTTTTTTCTCTTATGTCACTTTTTAAGGTTTTGATTATTCAAAGATATAAAGAGAGTATTAATGTTCAGACACTTTTATCATGACATTCTTAATCATACGACATTTCACTTGTAGTTGGGCTTATTATTATAATCAAAAGGAAGCGCTAAACCTACTATGGTTATATAGTTGGGTTTCATCAATTATATTCGCGATGGGCCTCCATTGCACTGAACACCAGCCGCTGTTAGTGCACACTAACGTTTGGTACGTCATCTGGCCATAGGGCCGGTGAGGTACCCCACCCCCTTCCTGCTGAAGACCTGCCACGCAGGAGCAAGTACAGATAAACGACACTTCCCTACCCGGGGAGCCAATGCCGGGTCACCAAAATGGATGAGACCCGGGCCGGGATACCATACCGGCGAATCAAATAGAATATATTCGCGAGGAACCGTTAAACACGTAGGGGTCACACAATAGCCCTTCAAATAGACAGAAACGAGAAAAACATTTCCTCGCTTCAGTGAAACATTGCCTTGCTTCAGTGAAACATTACATTGCTTCAGCGAAACATTGCCTTGCTTCAGTGAAACATTACCTTGCTTCAGTGAAATATTGCCTTGCTTCAGTGAAACATTACCTTGCTTCAGTGAAATATTGCCTTGCTTCAGTGAAACATTACCTTGAGTAAGAAACATTGCCTTGCTTCAGTGAAACATTACCTTGCTTCAGTGAAACATTACCTTGCTTCAGTGAAACATTACCTTGCTTCAGTGAAACATTACCTTGCTTCAGTGAAACATTACCTTGCTTCAGTGAAACATTACCTTGCTTCAGTGAAACATTACCTTGCTTCAGTGAAATATTGCCTTGCTTCAGTGAAAACTTTACATTACTTTCAGTGAAATATTGCCTTGCTTCAGTGAAACATTACCTTGAGTAAGAGTGAAACATTGCCTTGCTTCAGTGAAACATTACCTTGAGTAAGAAACATTGCCTTGCTTCAGTGAAACATTACCTTGCTTCAGTGAAACATTACCTTGCTTCAGTGAAACATTGCCTTGCTTCAGTGAAACATTACCTTGCTTCAGTGAAACATTACCTTGCTTCAGTGAAACATTGCCTTGCTTCAGTGAAACATTACCTTGCTTCAGTGAAACATTGCCTTGCTTCAGTGAAACATTGCCTTGCTTCAGTGAAACATTACCTTGCTTCAGTGAAACATTGCCTTGCTTCAGTGAAACATTACCTTGCTTCAGTGAAACATTACCTTGCTTCAGTGAAACATTGCCTTGCTTCAGTGAAATATTACCTTGCTTCAGTGAAACATTGCCTTGCTTCAGTGAAACATTGCCTTGCTTCAGTGAAACATTGCCTTGTTTCAGTGAAACATTACCTTGCTTCAGTGAAACATTACCTTGCTTCAGTTAAACATTACCTTGCTTCAGTGAAACATTACCTTGCTTCAGTGAAACATTACCTTGCTTCAGTTAAACATTACCTTGCTTCAGTTAAACATTACCTTGCTTCAGTGAAACATTACCTTGCTTCAGTGAAACATTACCTTGCTTCAGTGAAACATTACCTTGCTTCAGTGAAACATTACCTTGCTTCAGTGAAACATTTATAACATCTGTAATAATTTACTCGTCTTTTAACCATATCAAGAATCCCTCACTAGAATCGGTTCACTTTTCTTAAAAGGGTTGCAGGGAGTCTTAGCTCCTGGTCCCCGGCTCTGAACCTTTATTTGGCCGGCATTATTCAGTGGTTAGCCGTCATCATACCTACCTGGAGGTTATTCCGGGGATCAACGCCCCCGCGGCCCGGTCCATGACCAGGCCTCCCGGTGGATCAGGGCCTGATCAACCAGGCTGTTACCGTTGGCCGCACGCAGTCCAACGTACGAGTCACAGCCCGGCTGATCCGGCACTAGACATGAGGTATCTGTCCAGCTCTCTCTTGAAGGCAGCCAGGGGTTTATTGGTAATTCCCCTAATGCTTGATGGGAGGCTGTTGAATCTAGCCTATTATTATTATAATCAAAAAGAAGCGCTAAGCCACAAGGACTATACAGCGCTGCAGGGCAGGAAGGAAGCGAGGGCATCAGGTGGCAAAAGGGAGATGGATGAGTAATAGGTTACGGATAACAGCGGGGTAGTGGATGGTGGAAGGGTAAAGGGCAGCAAGAGACTGAACTAGAAAGGGCTGAGGGGAGTCTAGCCTAGAAGCTGTGCATAGTTTGTCTCCGCTGCCTTATCCACATCATTCCATGTTTTTATTATAATTATACTGGAGATTGTCCAGTCATTATATATCCACTGAAAAGTACTACACCGCAAGTGTTATACAGCGCCTGGAAAATGGAGATAATTAGGTCTAATTCAAGAACTCTTTCGTGGATGAGCTCCGTTTCCTTGGGTCAAGAAAAGCAAACAAAGGTAATACAGCACCGAGAATATCCAGATCTAATTCCTTGGATTAAGTCCCTCATCGGCATCAAAGAACCTCCCATTAACCATTATTAATAAAAACCAAGCGCTAAACCCACTAGGGTCATACATCGCTACCCCATTAACCATTAATGGTGTCCTCAAGGGAGGTTCATTAACGCCGGTGACGGGATCTTAGTCCATGGAATTAAACCTTGAGGAGGCTCTTAATTTATACACCTTTAAGAGGAAAATAATAATAAACTTAATTTTGTGACTTTTATTTGTGCCGTGTTAGATTTGTCTTAGGAAGGGTAGTGATGGAAGGTTCCTGCGGGCGGCACAACACACTCGCGTGCCGCACTGAAAGCGCGGAAAGTTTCAGAGGGTGGACGGGTGTGGGCAAAGGCCTAGATATTTATCGTCGTCGGTGTGGCTAGACTGGTCTATTCCTTCCTGGACAAGGAGGAAATGTGTTGAACTTTGGGTCATGTAAAGTGGGCGAAGGTGAAGGTCCTGTATTTCCCTATGGGCGGGAGACACTCCCTGGGTCGTGAGTGGTAATGATAAATGGCCAAGGGTACTATCCAAGTGGGAGGGGGTTCTGACTCGGTGCTGACGATTGTGTGGGCGGCGACAGGTGAAGAACACTTGGTAATGAATAACTTCAGTGACACCCACAAGATAACACCCACAACTGGTGACGTCACGCGCCGCCTCCCTCAATGGTTGTGTTGTAGCATCAAAAGAAAGTCTAATGTTTCATCAAGGATAATAATTAAATTCATATAAAAGCTATATAATTCTACTTTTTTAAAATCTTACTTAGATTAAATGACAACATGTGTGAGGCAGAATATAGTGGAGGGAGAAATGATGTAGGGGAGAAAAATGAAGAAAGGATGCAAAAAAAAAAAGGGTGAGTGAAGCATCGTTGACCTCCGACGTGTTACTATTGAGCAGACGAGAGAAGTGGTCACTCCAGGGGTGGACCACCGCCCCTCCTACCAGCTGTAAATCATCTGACCACCTTGGTCTCCTGTCATCACCTTTCTGAGCTTTCCATACTTGTAAAACTGAGGATATTCCTTATTGGACATCAAGTGTTGCAGAGCACTTGCACAGATTGGTGATAACACAGGGATGACAGGTGGGTTCAAACAGATGAAAATGTTCTGGAAGTTTGTGTATGGCCATATATATGAGTAGGAGCAGCAGGTGATGCTCCTGAAGGTGGTGTTATTGCGAATGTCGGGTCATTGGAGGGCGCTCTAGCGCGAGGCTTCCTCGGACTAGGTACTCTGCGGGGGCTCAGTTGCCAACAGAATGTGAATACATCTCTGGAGAATAACGTAGGTAGGTGATGTTTGTGGCAAGGTCGAGGCTATACAATGCATATGTTATGTTCAAGCTCAGGTTAGTCATTGCTCTAAACTTCAGCATAACAACTTACACCCAACATCCTCTTCCTTAGCCAGTGACCTTTGATTACTTACAATACACTAGTGACCGGCTTAGAGCAGGTCAGAGGTCATATGGAATCGTTATTTAGGCAGCATCATGTTCGGCATCTTCCTCATATTCTCCAATCTCTTCTTCGTCGTCAATGCTGGCTTCTTGGTACTGCTGGTATTCTGAGACCAGATCGTTCATGTTGGATTCTGCTTCAGTGAACTCCATCTCGTCCATGCCCTCACCTGTGTACCAGTGGAGGAAAGCCTTTCTTTTGAACATAGCCGTGAACTGCTCTGATATGCGTTTGAAAAGTTCCTGGATGGCTGTTGAGTTACCAATAAAGGTGGAGGCCATCTTGATACCTCTAGGAGGAATGTCACATACGGCCGTCTTGACGTTATTAGGGATCCATTCGACAAAGTATGAAGAGTTTTTGCTCTGGATATTGTACATCTGTTCATCAACTTCCTTCATGGACATCTTTCCTCTGAACACTGCGGCGACAGTGAGATAGCGACCGTGGCGGGGATCACAGGCAGCCATCATGTTCTTGGCATCAAACATTTGTTGTGTCAGTTCAGGGACTGTGAGGGCACGGTACTGCTGAGATCCGCGGGCTGTAAGAGGTGCGAACCCTGGCATGAAGAAGTGGAGACGTGGGAAGGGTACCATGTTGACTGCCAGTTTCCTGAGATCGGCATTGAGCTGTCCAGGGAAGCGTAAGCAGGTGGTAACACCTGACATAGTGAGGGAAACTAGATGGTTGAGATCGCCATAGGTGGGGTTGGCCAGCTTGAGTGTACGGAAGCAGATGTCGTAGAGGGCTTCGTTGTCGATGCAGTAGGTCTGGTCTGTGTTTTCCACAAGTTGGTGGATGGAGAGGGTCGCATTGTAGGGCTCCACCACGGTGTCTGATACCTGCAGGAACAACCAACATTACTTAGCATATCCTCACTTATAGTATTATGGTTATCTAATATATATCCCATCCTTATCTATATTATAATATATTGATTTTACATCTCATATTTACTACTTATAATAGTGTATATCAATGAAATTCAGTATTCAAAATGACTATAAAAAATCACTGACTACAATGCACAAAGGTTTCAAAACTTAAAAATCGCCGCTTTCCTAAGTAGCAGTAACACCATCTACTCATTAGTTTTCATTTTGTCAGAACAGCCAGTACAAAACTTTAGGATCCACTAATCTCTTAAGTAATTCGTGCAAAGTCTATGAACTTGTCTTAGATGTCTTTTTACTTCAAGAGAGAATTTACATCAGGAAAAGGCAGAAAACTGATAAATTTTTTATTACATTCATGGGAATGAAGAATGAAAAACAATCAAGTTCAATCCAAGGAAGAGGAGATTAGCTCAGTTCCTTGGATCAAAAACCCTTTACCGACATCAAGGCATTCCATCTTAACAGGTAATAAATAGGAAATCCTACTGGCTTTGCCTAAGAGGAGGGTGTCCTTTATGTAAAAGGAATACATGAGCGGGTGCTGCCTTCTTCCTTAAAGGAAGGCGCTAAATACAAAATGCACTGCCTGTCAGTCTTTCTTACCTTGGGGGACGGAACGACGGAGAAAGTGTTCATGATCCTGTCTGGGAACTCCTCCCTGATCTTGGAGATGAGGAGTGTGCCCATGCCAGAGCCCGTGCCCCCACCCAGTGAATGTGTCATCTGGAAGCCTTGAAGGCAGTCGCAATTCTCAGCTTCCTTCCTTACCACATCCAAAACCGAGTCCACCAGTTCGGCCCCCTCCGTGTAGTGACCCTTGGCCCAGTTGTTCCCCGCGCCGGACTGACCTGTGGTAGGGTGACGAGGCAAATGGATATACGGGTTAATGAGTGGCGAAGGTTGAGGTAAAGGTCAGGAATTGGTAAAGGTGCCAAGAAAATGAGAAGGAAGAGGAAGAAATAAACCGGTAATAATACAGGATGCTAGTGAGATTAAAATATAGGTTCTCTCGGTTTATTTAACTCTTCATAATTTTAAAAGCTACTTGAAAACATTAATTGCAGCAAATAAAAAATATTACTTTTGCACAAAAAGTTTATTGACTAAAAGAGAGCAAGAAAATCACTATGTTAAGACTATTCTTAAATATCACTAGTATGAAAAGATATGAAATGTGATGAATATGGTGTTTGGGGCAAGGGAAGGTGGGAGGGTGAGATGGGATGGTCACGGTGAGGGTATGCAGGAAGCCGTGAGGGTGCAGATGCAACAATCAAGCAAAAGTAGCAACAGAGCCAGACAAACACGGGTCAACATGCAGGTGGCAGCGGTGTGAGCGAGAGCAACTTCTTATTTATTGTCTTTTTTTGTTTTGTTCGTGTCCAGTCCAAAACTAATGGTCTTCTAGTCTCAGTATATTAAAAAAAAGTGTTAAATCCGCACAGGTCATACATCATATATTAAAACTAATAAATACAATCATATATTGTATATACAACCGAGACGCACTGTCACAGATGAAGTTAAGATCCACTTTGACTAGGGGTAATTTAAAGTGTTTCTTCTCTAACAAACAAACATTTGAATGTGTGATCATTCAGTTCCGTCTATGTTGCTTAGAAAAAAGATAATCTGAAGTTTATGCCAGAAACGTTTTACATACCGGAAATGTTTTATTGTTAGGCGTGTATGATGCCAGGCTATTGTATAAGGAACAAGTATAGGATACGAATCGATGTTTTACTTGGCTAAATGTGGGCGGAAGTACATGGGACGGGTACTAACTAGGCTGCTGTTACTCTTTATACTTATCGGCTTAATGGGTATCCCAGTGTCGAATTAGCATGTTTTTGTATTCAGCCTTATACAATGAATGGCAACACAGCAGTCATTGTCAGGGACTCACGAGGCTTTTTTTACTTGGAGGAGCGTTGTTGTCAATTGCTCTCATCACCACTTTCTCTTCTACTGCTTCCTCTGTCACTGTTCATATTATATTCGCCTACAACCTGCTAAAACCATAGGTGTCATTCAGCCTCTGGGGAATGGTACTCTAGGTTTGATCCAAGAAAATGCAGGGTAACTCCGATTCTTTGGATTACACCAGCATCAAGGCACCCACTTGAAGACAGACAATCGCAATAAACACATAGTACAGAATGGCCTAAAACCATTCAGACATCGGCCACAAAATACGGCTCTTGAGCAGGCCCAAAAAAAGGGCATCATAAGTTTTTTGATACGAGATCAACAAAGAACATACACTGGATTTATTTCAGGTCATATTTTAGGGATTAATGTATTCTTAATGTTCATTATATACAAGCGAATTGCGTCCTCAATGACTCTTGTGTAGTTGACAGGCTTTAATCCTAACAAATTATGGGGCGACCAGGCAAGAATATATTTGCCTACCCTCGTTTGGTAGTCATGAAGGAATCAGAGACCTTGCACTCTACACTACCCCTATGCGAATATAATACAGACCACAAGAATACACAAAAACGAAGGAACACCTGCTCAAACAGCCACTCCAAAAATATGTAAACAATTCCTTACTCTTAAACAGTGTACTAATTTAAGGGCATAAAACAAAACTGGTCAGTTAAGAAGATATTCTGAACAAGTTGAAAGTTTCGACAACAAGAACTGAGTGTTCACTAATTCGTGTTAAATCTTTTTGCCCTAAATATAGCAAAGAAAAAAAAAGTGAATGAAAAACTTCGCATTTCACAGTATACAGTTTCGCAAAAAGAAGTTTCATAAACGGCGTTTAGTGCCTAATCCTTGCTCCCAATCCTCGAGTCATGATGTGATAATACTGATTAGAAGTCCGGTTTCAGGAGCATTATAAGACGAAAGAGGGAACAGTGAAAGGAATAACACTGTTATGGTTTACAAAACTAATAATAGTGTGAGAGGAGAATCATGGCTGACAGATAGGCGTGCATAAATGGGAGGAAATCAGAACTGGAACCCTTTACAAGTAGTGTGCCACAAGGGTCAGTATTGGGACCCTTGTTCACATTCTACATAAATAACACAGATGGGGAAATAAACAGCGACATAAGTATGCCGACGACATTCAAATAGGCCGGCAGTTAATTTTTAATGAGGTCACTAAAAAGCTACAGGATGACCTGATAGATTGATGTAGTCGGAGAAGTGACAGATGCAATTCAAAGCAGACAAATTCAAGGGTCTAACCCTACCAAAAGAAAATACCTATCTTACTTAAAAGCTAAATAACGTTGACCTTGGTCAAAATGAATATGTAAAAAAAATTTTAGTTCTAGTAAGTAGAAATTTACAGCCAAGACAACTTCACAGATGTTCGCAATCAAGCTAACAGGATCCTTGGCTTCATATAAAGAGGTATATGTAAGTAACAGAAGTCCTAAGGTTATACTTCAAATTTATATATCTTTGGTAAGGCTTCATTGCTCATTTCTGATTTTCATATCACAGAATGGAATGGGCTGGAAAATGTAAAAGGAAAGATGACGAAGGTGATTCCATGTTTCAGAAATCTTTCCTGTGAAGATAGGCTGCTGGCACTGAATTTGTACTCTTTGGAAAGACGTTGAATTGACCAGGATACGATTGAAATAAACAAATGGAAAACAGGAATAAAGGTGATATAAATAGCAAGCTGAAAATATCTAACAAAGATGAATCGCAGCAATGGATTCAAGTAGTAGAAATTTGGATTTAGAAAGGTTTGGCAAGAGAGATGTAGATGAAGACAATAAACACCCAGGTAGCGCATTGGAGCAAGAACCTTGGGTAGCTTTAGTTATAGTGTAGTTTGAGCGGGTGGTTGGGTGTGAGTTGGCCCTGCCTAGCATGGGCCAATAGGCCTATTGCAGTGTTCCTTCATTCTTATGCTCTTAGTGTGAAGGAGGGTGAGGGATGTGTAGTGTGAGGGGTGGCCACTACTAACCAAAGACGACGTGCTCTGGCTTAAAGAGTTTGCCGAGGGGTCCAGCGCGCACAGAGTCCATTGTCCCAGGCTCCAGGTCCACCAGAACTGCACGAGGAACAAACTTGTCCTTGTTGCCCTCGCTGTTAAACAAGCAACAAACAATCCGGCTGTTAGTGCAAGATGCTACAACGCCCACCAACATCCATCTGTGTTGTGATCGCTTGAAATAGAGCAAAATGCTCCTAAAACCCATAAATGCTGCAAACACTACTCTGCAGGGTAAACAGCTGTTGGAGGAAGCTGGAGTGTTTTAGTTTATTTGAAGGAATGCAAATTTAATTTTAAGAAGACAAGTGTGATGTTATCTTGCTCTCACAACACAGGATGCTGTTTCCTTGGGGTTTGTTAATGCTGGTAAGTTAAGCGCCCCTCTCATCTCTTCAACAACTTCCATCAATAAAATGTAACTGCTGATTCATGACCAATTATAGCTTACCTCAATTAAATGTCACCTAATTAATGCGCATGGCAACTCGAAATGTTATTGAATTCTGAGGATTCAAGGAAAAAATAATGTTAGAGGCAACAATGTTTTAACACGACTGAAGTTGTCATGAATCAATATGATGAATAACATTTTAGTAGTTGTTGGAGGGACGAGGAGCATTCGTTGGTTCATTCTGTATTCAGGCTTGTGAAGCGAACTAAATTTTTAATCAGGAAAGTAACCCGATAACCACAAGTTTAAAAACATTCAACTAGTGAGGGATTCCGTTTGTTGCTCTGCTACTGTTGCTGCTGCTGCTCGTGCTGTTTTAAATCCTTTGTGCTAATTGTAACACCTGCCTTTCGCAGCATTTTATGCTTATTTTGAAATCAAATGTTCTTGTAAGACATGATAAACGAGATTTATTTCGACATTAAAATGAGGAAATTAAGCAGGCTGTTGCATTCGGCAACGCAAAGGATCTCAAGAACACAGGCACTACGGAGGAGTATAGATCCTTGTTGATTTTGAGTCTGGGGAGATGGCCCTGCCCCTTGCTGTTTAATAAGGCTGGTTAGGGTTAGGCTCACGTCTCTGGAGACCCTGACTCTGTATATGCCGTTAAGTGAGGGTGAGGTTGGTGAGTTTCTATGAGACTATGGCCTCTGGTGAAGAGAGTCACGAACTACTACAGAATAATCTGCTCCCGAGAATGCTGTTAAGGTAAAGCTGGTGAGGTATTAGTGAAAATGGCCAGGATATGGCGGTCACGCACGCGGGCAGGGAAGCCATGAGACACCTTCCTCAGATGTTAGCACTAGGCTGCTCAGTGTGCCTCTCTCACGTACCGAAGACAAAGTGGCTGGGTTTGAAGAGCTCTCCGAGTGGGCCAGCCTTGACAGAGTCCATCGTACCAGGCTCCAAGTCCACCAGAATAGCCCGGGGCACGTACTTCCCTGGGGCACCCTCACTGCGGGGTCATACACGGGTCATATGGGGACGTAATACACTAAACAGGGGTCAAGCACTCCAGATTTATACACTGATACATTTGATCATATATAGTTACCTGGACATTGATGAGTCTCATACGAACTTTCACCAGTAAGGCCCTACATGAACTGAGGCTTATTTGACACTATCAAATCAAGTCTAGCACAGAGATCAACATTTTTGGGATTAAAATATTAGGGGAATAACATTTGGCACTCAAAGGACATACACAATCACACATGTTAATCAATCCTGCCTCTCACGTCCACATATTAATTAGAGCTACACAAGAAGACACTCATGGAGTCTCAAAATTATTGACATTCGACAGTCAGCCTGCGGAGTCTTTCCAGGAATTCTGAAGGTCCTTGCATCTAGGCAAAATAAAATGACGATATATAATTGTTAAACAAAATAGCAGATCACATAGGTAACTAAGACAAAAACAAACTTTATAAGCGATCACATGTAAATCCTAATTATTATTTAACAAATCCTGCAACATTATTAAAACCTTTGTATGAAAATATTTATCCAAATTTGTAGTGCTATTCTATCACTTGAATAACAATAATAATAAGCTGTTATTTAGATTGTTATAATGTTCATCAGGACCGAGTCCTGACAAGTCAGGACCATTCAACTATAACAAGACAATCGTTAAGGATACATTTTTCAATGCCGAATCTTCGCAACAACACTCGGCAAAACTCACTTAAATAAAAATTTACTAAAACAAATATCTATAATATACTATATTATGACAGCCTATATCAATTTAAGTACCAAAGTATACATATATCAATTATAACTAATCTTCTGAGTTTAATCCACAATCTCCTATAACTGATTTTATATTCAAGCCCCAATAGGCATACAGTTCTCTAATTAGACTACCAAATTATTACTCATTTAAATTTAAATGAGTAATAATTTGGTCCACGAAAAATATAACTGTTAAGCTAGGCTAAACCACAATATTTGAACGGCTTTCATCCTAATTCAACATTCACTTGGATACAAGTCTGGTATGAGATACGGTAGCGGGGGCAATGATCTTTAAACTAGGTACAGGTAAGTTGTATGTAACAAGCTAGAGAAAGTCACCTGTAATAAACATTGATCCTCTCCAGCTGCAGCTCCCTGACATCGTGAGGAACATTCTCGCGTAGTGTGCCCGCTGCTGTCAAGCCATGTTCGTCACTGATGATCTCCCAGAACTGTGGACCAAACACACATTTACTACTTATGAACAAAACCTCATTTTATTTTGAACGTTAATATATTGCTCGAGCCCCGACATTTTCTGAATGGTACCTAAAATGAACAAATGATATTTTCTTTACGTAAGATAAACAAAAAAGTATTTTCTTTTACAGCAATTAAACACATGACAATTCGGTGGCTGCAAAGTCTCAGGACACGTTCAAATCTACATGCATATCACTTCTGGAGACTGTTATGGGTTGTACACTTCAACCCTTTTGCTCTTGTAAAGTGAGAATAACTATAAAAGCTTGCAGTCAGATGTATTATTCTGACTGAGTTTAATCTGGTCTAATCAATATAAGTTTTTAGGACAGCATGATAATTTTTAGTATGAGCATACATAGGCTTCTTGGTGATATTGCCGTTATCAGACCTAAAATTCTTTAAATAACTGCTTACTTCATTAAACTAAAAAAATGGAATTTGTGTCTGATAGCGGCGTTCATTGCTTTTAAATGAATGATACAAATGTAGATTATCATATACTTCATCTAATTTCATGCATTAATTAGATGCAGTATTTAATATTACTATAATTATATAAGAAAGGCAATGTCACGAGTGTTTGCACCTCCTGTCCTCCAAAGAAGACAGGAGGTGCGTTATGTGCATTATTGCACATAACGCGGTTCGTTGATTTTTGTCCAATCTAGCTTCCACAAATTTACCGGAACTGCGAATCAGTGATATACCTTTACCTTCAACAAACTTTTGATGAGTTTCGTAAGTTTTACTACTCCCGGAGCCCGGCCATGGGCCAGGCTTGTCTGGTTAACCAGGCTGTTGCTGTTGGCCCCCCGCTTGCCCACATATCCCTCACAACCTTGCTAGCATATCAAAGAAGGTTCCACCTTCCCCGGTTAAAAAATAACATCACATACTCCTCTAATATTATTTCATGTTGGGACTCGAAGGGCATAGTTTTCCCATTATTCCAGCAGGTCTATGACGAGTGTGTGGGAAAGGTGACTAGTCAAGTATCCACCGGTTGCATCAGAACTCACATTACATTGGTAACTGAACACCGTTGACAGCTCAGCGAACATAAGTGAAATATCATATAGGATGTAATTCTTTTTAAAGTTTATACTAAAGTGAGCCCACAAAGCAGTCCATCCTCCAACTTTAGAGTGCATGGGTATATGAACTCTCTAAAGTCTAAGGAAGTACGATAGGTAGGGAAAAAGGAAGAACAGGTTAATTAAGGTGGGAAAAACAAGCTCTTTGAGATGGGGAAAAAATAAGAACAAGATCCTTGGTGGAGGAAGGAGGAACATGCTTTCTGAGGCGGAGAAAATGAACCACAAGCTTCTTGATATAGGATAAAGGATGAAAAAGCGCCTTCAGACGGGTGGAAAACAATTTCCATGAGGTAGAAAAAAAACAAGATCCTGAAACGGGGGAAAAGGAATAGCAATATCCCTGAAGTTATGAGAAAAAAAAAGAAGTTCTTTGAGGTAAGAAGAAAATGGAGAAAAGGAAGAATAAATCCCCCGAAGTGGAGGAAGAACCAGTTCCCTAAGGTGGGGGGAAAGGATGAATAAACTTCTTGAGGTGGGGGAAAAAAGGAGGAATAAACTCTGATGTGATTAAAAATGAACACGTTCCCGAGGTAGGGAGAAATGGAATAACAAGCTCCCTGGTGGGAGAAAAGAAGAAAGAGATCCAGAAAGTCTAAAATAAACAAGAGAAAGAAGAGAAAATTACAGTGGTGGATAAGGCAATTTAAGTATGAGATGTGGGAAACCACAAGAGTGGCTACACACAATCACCGGGAGCAATGTCTTTCTCCTTCCTCCTCTCTCTCCCTTCCCCCCATGCTTCCTTCCCCCCCCTCCTTCCTCCGCTGCCTCCTCTTTCCCTTCCATCCACCTCCTCTTTCCTTCCCTCCTTACCTCAATATATTAGTACCAGCATGGACAACATGAGCTACATAGTATTTCGATTTTAAAACAAAATAAACTTTAGTCACGTTTATCCTAGTATTATAAACGTGATTAGTGTTAGCTTTTTGTCCGCTAACTACATACATACATGTCTGCAATAATCATACATAAAATTAAATAACCCATGTGCAAGTTTATTCTACATACAATGTTCGGTTTTACAGCAGTTAAGTCATATAATAGGTATTACATTACAAATAATTAATATAAGTAAATTATGGGAGACCTCACTGAATTTTACGAACTGGAAAAAAGAATCAATAAATTGAAAAAAAAAAAACAGTACTGAAAATATCTAGTCAAGATCACACCTGCAGCAAGATATTCGATTTGAATATATTTATTTGTAAAAAAAAAAAAAAGGATACAGGGACGGGAACAAGAGAGGGAGAAGAGGAAGTAGTGGTAGGTAGGTAGTGGAGGTAGTGGAAGAAATAGTGGTGGTGGAAAGGAGGGATATATCAGGCATGTGCTGAGTGGCAACAGAGCGAAACGAACTGCAAGAGTGTACTTTGTGGAGTTGTAGAAATAGGTTAGACAAAAACACGAGTGGGAATGGTTGGTAAAAGTAGGACCTGCCTAGCACAGGTAGCAGGCTGGCCTACTGCACTAGGCATTCTCTTATCTTATGCTTTTCTTTAATAATTGTATAAGTGATAGTCATTATAGATATACAACGATATATTTTATAACACAGGCTCTACCTACAATTCCTCAAAAGGATTTAGATCCATCCACTGTAGATATAGAGCGAAGGATGCATGCTAGCATAGAGTAGTTGAAGCAGGATGGTGGTGCATTCCTGAGGTGGAGTAACCGTGACAATGTGAGCAGCAGCAGACGGGAAGCACAGAGACGCCATTCTCCTCTAACCATCGTCTTGGTCCCTCCCTCCCTCCTACCTCGCCCACAACGCCCACCCGCCCCCACAAAATTACCAGGTGCGCTTCCACACTACCTACAACACCACACGACTCTTCACACTTTTTACTATACAAGTCACATCTCGTTGCTGCCTCGTTATTCGCCTATGACAGAACTGAACCCCTATTCATGACAATTTTCATCTTTTTTATTTATTTCCTGATTCCAACTTCAAATTATTATTATCATAACAAAGAGCTAAATTCAAACTTCAAAAACTATATTTTATATTTAGGGCAAGCACTACACCCGTATGGGTCGTTCACCACCTGGGGAATGGTAATTAATCAGGTTTGATCTCAGGGATAGTTCCAGTTCCTCGAATCAAGAGCCCTTCATCAACATCAAGGCCCCCTTTAAATAAACTTATGTATAAAGTTAATGTTATATTTAAACTTTCTTTGTCATTTATAATGTGATATATACGAGCAGGATTAAAGGATTAATTACCTTTACAACATATTATGAATAAACACAAATAGCGAAAATGGATACCGAGACGTCCGGTAAATGCTTCTATTGTCAAGACAAAGATATGTTGAAGAACAAGCAACCATCTTTGTCTTCACAATCTTTTATTGGGACAACGTTTATTGTCCCAGTAAAATGTTGTTTTGCAACATGTGCTTATTCTTCACTGTAGTCTGCAGTACGACATTCGTAAATGGAGTGGTAAATCTACCATCACACCTTATGTCATTTTATTTTCTAAGGGGGTAGACCCATAGAGTAGGGAAAAGCTTCGATCAAATGAAGAGAAACTCCACTGGATGACCTGTGCGAAATATAACAGTATCAACAACAGTAAATTCTGATCACAACCTAATCGAAGTTCAGACGTGTATGTACAGGGGTCCCAAAAATTAAAATGCATATAGTTACAAGGGTGCCTTCACCAAATTCAACTTTAACAAGAACATCGACTGGGATTAAATAAATCATGTCCTTAATGAAACATGCTGGAAAGATATCTTAAATAATATGGATAAACTCTTTGGCACATTCCCCTAAGGAAAAAGGAGAGAGGATATGAACTGGAAGAAGAGATGGTTCCTCTACATGCGAAGGCGAAGAATCACCCAACGCAGTCCAACCTACGAGCTGTGGCTCGTACGTTGGACTACGTGTGGCCAGCAGTAACAGCCTGGTTGATCAGGCCATGATCCACCGGTAGACCTTGTCGAGGACCGGGCTACGAGGGCGATGCCCCCCGGAACAACCTCCAGGTAGGTAGACTGGGCGAGTCATCACATAACTTAAGATCCACGTTAGGAAAAAAGTTCCCATTTTACCTTCATTTTCAATATAAGCCCACGACTGTGAACTCATATCTTGTATGATACATAATTTAATAATTGTGGGTCATCACCTCGCGGTCTGGCCTCTTAAGATTAGGCCTAAACTGATACGGAAATATTACGGATACAAGACCTATCATTATGAAACACAGGAAAATAGAGTTAAGTGTACGCTAAATGTCAGTAAAAGTTTGTAAGATTAAACTGTCATCTTAATTCCTTTAATGAATGGGTAGACCTGAATGAAGGAACAGTTCTTTAGAGCAATTACGTTTGAACAGGCTGTGGCTTCCTGAACATCCAGAGTATTACCTGGTGTCACTTCCGGTGTGAGTCAGGGCTCTCACCTCACCGTGAAGTAGTTACAGGTATTCTCGAGACCTGTACATCTGAAGCATGCACGTGTACAGTTGAGTCACACATGGAAATCATACGTATATCACACGTGAGTCACACATTTATACAGTTTAGCAAATCACACACATTTACAAACTCAATTCATATTTGCAACGGCTCTTGCATATACTGACTCGTACATTCACAAAAGCTGATACGTTTACCAAATCACCCATTTACAAATGTTCTGAATATGGTTTGGCGAAATGTATGGAAAAGGGAGTGTCTGAACGATGCTACTTACAAGTCTTATTGTTTATTTAGACATATTAACTTGACATTAATTACTGCGGATGAAGAAGTCTGATGTATGTCTGTATTACTTAGAATAAGAGAGGGGGGATGGGGGCGATAAATCCCCGGAACCATAAACCGATGTGTAGTTAT